CGCCACAACCTTCCGTTTTAAGGTCAAAGCTCCTTAAAGCGGCACCCATTTGTCCCTCGTGGTAGTCGTAGTCGTAGCGTGTAACCTGTTTTACGTTTTGACCTGCAAGGTGGTGCTGGTGGGAGATTTCTTCCGTGCGTTGTTGAACAATAAAAAATTCACAGCGTGCGCGTTAACTAAAAGCCGAATTCTCCTGTCTCTCATTCCCCATTAGCAGCCATTGGAATATACATTGAGCACTATCTGACAAGAAAGGGTGGCTACGTTATACTCGCTGGGCGCAACCTCCTTGATTTTAGAAAGGTTTAGCGAGCGTTGGGCAGCAGTGCCATGAATACAGTGAACTAGTATATACCATGAACTCGATTGATTGATTTGATTTGTGGGGTTTAACGTCCCAAAACCACCATTTGATTATGAGAGACGCCGTAGTGGAGGGCTCCGGAAATTTTGACCACCTGGGGTTCTTAACGTGCACCCAAATCTGAGCACACGGGCCTACGACATTTCCGCCTCCATCGGAAATGCAGCCACCGCAGCCGGGGTATGAACCCACGACCTTCGGGTCAGCAGCCGAGTACCTTAGCCTGTGTGTCCGTTCGTGCCCCGCCGCGGTGAACCACTGCGGCGGGGCACGAACGGACACACAGACAGATGCATGGACAGATAAACGAATGGACGGACGCAGGTGTGGATGCATGGACGAACGCACAGATAGACTTGCGGACGCACGGACGGGCGGATGGACGCATGGACTGTCACACAGATGGACGCATGGGCGGACGGAAGCAAGAACGAATGGACGGACGGATGCATCGCCCCACTCTCCATCATTCACTCCGTGGATATGCTGCCATTTTTTTTAATGCTCACCTCCCCCTTTTTTCTCTCGTTTGCTGACTTACACAGATCTGCAGAGGTCGCTTAGAGCTCAAGAGTCGAAAACATATTGACGCTCTAAGAGACCTCAATAACTATAACGTTCCAAAGACTATAATAGCATGGACATGCGCAATCTATTCCACACAGTGGATGCTCACACTGATGCGTAGCCTTCTTCTGCGGGTAACTGATAATCCACTGCACTCGCTCAAAAGCTGGAGTGCTTTATTCTAGGTAACTTTCTGGGACAATGACTACCACATAAAGCGAATAGTGATCAAATGATCCAGAGACGATCAGTTTCTTAATATCGTGCTCATTTAACTCTGAACTTCTCTTCTTACTTGCGATTCAAAGACGGCAGCTTGGGTTTAATGGTGTTTAGATGGGTATTCGAAATCCCAAATTTGTAGTAAATCTTGGTTTTCCAAGATTTATCACCTGAGATAGAATCAATCTAGCGAGGTAAGATTCATATGCAATGTGATTTGATCCGAGTTACCCCTTTTTTGCAGCCTCAATTTGAAAAACGACTATTTCGGGATCCCTGAAAAGACCGAACATGCGATATGAAAAGAGTCGTTTTTACTTCTCAATGAAGCGAACTCTGCGGCAGTTTGCTTGCGATTAACAAAACGTAGAACATTGGCCTCGTTTATTTTAAGCCAAGCTGATACTTTGCTCTCACTCGTGGTCTTTGGCCTCGCAAGTCTATCGTACGGCTTCTGCGCGCATGTTCACTTTCATGACACAGTGAATAGATAACGAGAAAAAAAAAACACTGCCATTTCTGCGTCCCTTCAGTGTACAGCTCAATGCCTACGCTTTGATACCAGCCTCGTTCAGCCATTTTGTTTTGCTGCTTTTTTTAACGCACTTTCAACGCAGTTATCTTGTCCTGCTTTTTTTTTTTTGCGACGTGTAGGCATACAAGTGAACGTTTATTGCGGTTATTTTGAGCGTTCCAATACAAACTTGTACCATAAGTCTGGAGTGAGTAAATATGGAAAGTTTATTAAAGAACTGTCTTGTTTGTTATTTTTTGTTTGTTTTTGCGGGCGATGACCATCTCTGTTTAAATTAACTCGGTAGTGAGATTGTTTTGAAGACTGAAAAAAAAGAGCTAAAATCTGAAGCAAAAAAAAAAAAAAGCACATGGTCTCCCACAACTCCTTGTGTCGGCTGCGTATATTGAGCATCTGGCGGGAATCAGGCGTCTTAAAATCAGTTGCAAACATTACGATAGCAATTATCTTGAGTTGGCATGAAGAAGCTACGAGTACGTTAGGTACATTAGATACGCACGCACCCTTTTATATTTATGCACAGTGGCGGCACGAGTGACGAGCCATTGTTGTGCCGTCAAAAGCAGGGGAGGCCTTGTTTGTCGTCGTTCGTCTGTCGACAGCTCTTTCTGCGCACGTCGATAGCGAATATCGGTGCTGTAACGCAGCTCCCGAGGCTGCGTCTCGGGAGAGAAAGTTGAATGGCCATCTGAAGAGTTTAGCATTCGCTACAGACCTGACATTCTATCTACTCTAGGTGAGATGGTTAACGGTGAACGATATTCAGTGCAATAACAAAGCAAATAAGACGTTGATACCCCCTCTTCTCAGCGGTAAGCAAAAGCTGAAACGCAGCGCGTTTCAAGGCTAGGAATTGTGGCGCGCACAGTTCAAGAAACTCTCCCTAAGCGCTCTTTTTGTTTCCAAGCAGAATGACGGAGATTGAAGTAGATAAGCCTAGGTGCAGATGACCTAACCTCAATGCAAAATGAACGCCTTACATGTCTGGCATCAGTAATACACAGACGCAATACGCTGCATGATAAACCTATGCGTTCATTCACGCAAGGTTCAAGCAATGAGTTTTAACACGCATTTTGTTCAACTTGAAAACCTAACTGCTAAACTGTTAACGTTGTCGTATGTAATTACTTCAGTAGTAAACCGAGGAGTCTATTCAGAGCAGGAAGCGTTTCGAAAACGTCAAAAGGAACAGCGGGAATCTTGCTGTACGTAACGTATTTTGTCAAGTACTTACGAATAACGAACGACAAGCCAAAAGAACAGAGGTCGGAGCTAGTGCCCTCTTCTTTGTGGCTCGTTATTCGCTGTTTCGCTATACTGTCTTCACAATAAGATGAATACCACGCAATGTTTGCTGGTGCAAATAAACCTCGAGAAGACTGCGCAACACTGTCATCAAGATAAACGTTGCCGCTGGTCCGGAAAATCTGCACACATCCACAAGACAACGATCCCACAGAATGCTGGCCCGCTGAGCTGCGTCAATATGCAATCACTATGCGCCAGTAGGGCGTACATGAGAAAAAAAAAAAGGAAATTTGCCGTGAACTCCACATAACAAGCCACCCCACGTCACACGCGTGGTACACGTCACGCGGAACGAAGCTTTCTTTTGGCCGCTTCGAACGCGCCGACTTTCTTTGTGCCGACGTTGCGGCACTGTAAATAGCGTAGCTCGGTATACACGCGACGGTAAAGGAAGCGGAGTGAAGCTTTTTACTTGATTGTTCGAGCCGAGCCGGGGCGCGCTCGGTGAACGTTGCTTCGTGTCTGGGGGCGCGGTTCGACCCGTTTTCTCCGGCCAACACACTCGGATTTTCCCAAGTGCAGGTCAAACGATCTTCCCTGCAATCTACACCACCGAGAAAACAAAAATTCGCCTTGTTGCCTTGCAGCTTCATGAGACGTGACAGCCGTTATAAAGAAAGCAAGTTTTAATCAATCGTTGCCTCCCACTTGATGGTGTTACGCCGTTTGCCGCAGTTCTCCTTGTGTCACCGTATTGCACGCTCACTTTTTCTCATACCGGCGCATTCGAGTTGACTGGGCATTCGGAACACGTCACTCGTAACAGGCGTGACTATGGAACGGCAACTGTGGGCTTATTACATTTCTCGTTCAGTCACGCAATGTTATAATTAGGCTTTCTCGTCTCATCGTTCTTCCTCTGAGCAGTAAGCAGCGAGGGTCGGGCGAATTGCCACTGGCGCGGACCACAGTGGCAACCGCAACGTCGCACGGTCTACCCTAATGTCGTGTACGCCACTAATTTCGTGTTGTCACGCTACGCAGGGTCATTCTTCTTTTGAAGCGCGCTGATGCATTTCAAGGGATGAAAATAAGAAGCCTGTGTGTCCATACGACACCAATAAAAGGAAATCGTTCAAGATTATGAAAGTTACACGTGTCTATGAGCATAGAACGCCGTAAGTCACAAGATATTGAATAATATTCACTACCACCACGTGCAGACACCTTCGCGGTTATCACGTATTAATCAGCTCTTTAATGAGTTTATATGCAATTCCGATACAAAAATACAGCGAACACATCCTGCTTTTGAGTGACCATTCGAGCTTTCATTTTTCAAGCACGAAAAAAACAAACATGCCTAGCGCTATTTTTACGGTAAGCAAAACGCTTCACAAATCCATTCTGGCTGGTCTGTTTCCAAGTGATGTCGAGTTAATCTGAGTGAAACCAGACCATTACATTTAGATTTCATGCAATTCGAAACACACTAACTTTGCGTTTCCGTTCACGACACTCGAAATAACCGTCAAATCTTTCAGAGCGCTGTAGCATGCTGCCAACCGTTTGTTTCATCATGCTGAGGAATACGCATGCACGGAAACACACCCAAACACGAGCACACAGCACAGCGTTGGTCAAATTGAGGTATATCTGGTGGTACTAATTCACTGAAATTGGCCACTCATGTTCCGTGTCGTGTTACTATTCAGGGAACGTCGAGAAAACACTAAGGTAAATTCTGGGCCTCACTCGTGGTCACGGCAGCATAGAAACTTATCTCGATTGGGTATGGGTGGAAGAAACACTCTGCCAAAGAGCACGGCCTCCATTGGGCGTGTATGTGTGCATTATAAATAGCCAGAGGCCGACTCGCGGGCTCTGCCCTCAGTGCACGCGGTGTACTGTATGGCCCTAAAGCCAGGGAGACCGAGAGGCCAGGGATGTGGCCAGCAGGGCGTCTCGGTCACCATGGTTACAGGCCGCGACGCCAGGTAAGGCCACCGGAGTTAGCGCGAGAATAGTTGACGGTGGCGCCCAAGGTCGGGGCGGACTGACCTCCGTCGGCGTACGTCTCGGACCCGTAGCCGTCCTGGAGGCCGTTGGCCCAGGTGCCCTCGTACTTGGCGCCGGAGATGAGCGACTGGCGCACGCCGTAGCGGCCCTTGAAGCCCTGCGTCCACTCGCCGCGGTAGCGCCAGCGGCCGCGCGTTTCGACGCCCAAGCCGTGGCGCTTGCCGTTTTGCCACTGACCCTCGTAGCCACTGCCTGAGGGCCACGTGTAGACGCCGGACACCTCGAAGCCGTAGTGCCATGAGCCGCAGTACTCGCCCTGGCCCTTGGGGCCCGTGCAGACGCCGTGACCGTGCGCCTTGCCGTCCTCCCAGCCGCCGCAGTAGGTGCCGCCATCGTCGAAGTCGAAGCGGCCGCCGCTCATCCTCCTCGCTCTAGCAGGGCACGGCCGTCGCCACCGGCGACATCTCCCCGGTCGCCGTCGTGCTCCCACTGGTTCGGGGTCGTTCGAAGGACAGATCGGGCGGCTTCGCAGTCTTCGCGGCCGCCCCCCCGTGCGAGACGCGCGCCGATCCCCGCTCCGCCGCGCGAGGCGCCAGCGCCTCTCTCGGAACACGCCCTCGCGCGGTTGCCCACGACGCCGAGGCCCCAGCGCCGCCGCTCGGCGCGCGCCGCCAACGCCGCTTCCCCCGGCGCGGTGTGCGAGTGAGGTTTACTCTGCGCGGCAACCATGTGCAGCAGTGAAGACCCACGCAGTCTACGAATGGAAGGGGTTTCGAAATTAAACTTTGACATTGAAAAAAAAAAAAAGCCTGCACTGCTTCGGTGTACCTAGCATGAATCAACTAACGAAGTGTAATAAAGCGGCTGCGGGCTAGTGTCTGGGACTACTACGTAAAGGTTTTCCAGCGTCAGTTTTAGTTTTGCTACCATTGCCCGTTATAACTTCTTTTTACCAGTAATTTTTGACAGAACTTGTGCGTATAAAGTCTGTGATTCTTTCACATTCTGTATCACTTAAAAAGTTCATATAGAAGCATGCAATAAAAGAACTAAGCTTTTGCCTGGACAAATTCTCTGTTTAAGGTGGCATACCTGTTTTTACAAGCCGGTTGACACACTTGCCTTTCCCGTCCTCCCTGTTTTCTTTATTCATCAGAGAACACACAATTGCAAAGAAGGAAAAAAATACGTGCAGTTATGTTGCTCATGCTGCGAACCAGTTCAGACAGCTGTGCACACGCATCTTGATTGTACCCTCTTTCCTTGCCCATACTCCTATCAGAAATATCGGCTACGTGTCCCCTTGGCCAAACCCTTTCGCCCCTGCCCTCTATATGCGACAGCGGTGCTATCAATAAACGTTGTTCCACCACCAGCTAGCACGTCGTTTGTGCTGCTGCCTGTCCCAGCCGGATACTAAAAATTAGATATAAAAAGCTCCATCGAATTGAATCCTAATCAGGGCTTCACATTAATTTAGATTACACGATTAAACTGCACAGAAAATCCCAGTGTCAAAATAGCTATAGCTGCTTCAGAAATCTGTGCAGTGATACATAGAAGAAAACTTTACTTTCATAAGAAGAAACTGACAGAAAGTAGGCCCTTCACCTGGAAGAAATCTAATTGAAGCAGTGCATGGCATTATGTTCTTGTATAAGCAAGAATTGTGCCTTGAAAATACAATAAACTACTGCAACGATAAAAAATGGTGTGTGACGTCACATGTCTGGGTCTCGCTCTTGATCACGGCAGCATAGAAACTTATTTTAATCGCATAACTACAGCCGTCATTGGTTGAAAGCTAGTCAGCAAGATGGAAACGACTGGCTGCAACCATGCGCTTTTGCCAAATCTCGTTACGGGCGTACACGCTGCCGAGTTTCGACGCTGTAAAGATTCTCTTAAGTGCGCTTGGCCGGCTGTCATTAATCACGAAGAGTGCGCAGTCGAGCGCAATTCCTGCGTTGTGTTTCTTTTTTCGACGACAATTACGTGTCTTCCGGAATTCAGGCCGAATGAGCACGAACCTGCGTGAATTCACGATGCTCTTAGTCGTACAGATGTTTCACAAAAGTTCACTTTAAAAACGTGCATGACCGAACACAGTAAAGAATTAGTCGATAGCGAAAGGTGCCGGGCACTGAAAAACAGCTTTTGTGGGGGGAAAGCTTTTTACCCATTCATCGCAGGATTCTTAAAACAACCCTCTAACAATGGCAGCCATTGGCCCACCGTGGTGGCGCCATGGTTCATAGTGTCATGTTGCTATGAACAAATTCGCCCTTTCAATTGTTGCGGCCGCATTCTGAGTGAGATGCAATGAAAAAAATTCAGTGCACCACGCTGCTGAAAGCAGTGGAAGCAGAGTAAGTTTAAAATGGTAATAGTATATCCAGTGGATAAATACCAATAATATTTTAAAGTTGAAAAATCGCCAGATCCCACATACTGTGGGAATCGATGATATGTGAAGCACGAATGAGGAAGCTTGATATGTCACTTTAAAATCAGCACAACATTACGGACGGACGTAAATTGTGCCGTACGTGACTTCCATGTCGTGATTATCATGTTTGAACGTGTCATCTACATTCGTCGTCTATTCACGTCCCGTGATACCAAGCTTGGTATATGTTAAGCTAGCAAAACGGCCGTGAGCAGGCTATGTGCGTAGCATGTAGGCACGTTTTACATGACACGCATGTCATGATTATCATGTTTGGACTTGTTGTTTACCTTCGTCATCCATTCACGTCACGTAATACCAAATTAGGTATATGTAGAGCTAGCAAAACGGCTGCGAGCACGCTATGAGCGTAGCCTGTAGTCATGTTTTACATGATACAAGTTTCATTCGAGGTCCGCGAAAGACAGGCGCGTATTAAAACCTTGTACATTGTGTGTATGTAAAATAAACTACCGATGGTATAGGCGCGCGATTGGCGTTTCGTTCTACAAGGTGTGTAGCAGTGTTTTACAAGGCAGCTGGATTTCTCACACTTAGAAAGGAGAAGAAAAAGTTACCAGCAAGAGAGTAATGCATAACATGGTTCTCACGTGCAGCACCAAGCTTACACACTCTGAAACACACAGGCTGGTTCTTTATAGCAAATAATATTATAAAGATGCACCTAAATATTGTCTTTTGTCGTTGCCGTTACCAACCGTCATGAATGCGCTGGCGCGGACTCCAGTTAAGTTTACTGAAAGCGACTTCAGACAACTGACAGTGCTTCCCCGCCGGTTACTGTGAATGTTTAACGACACGACAGTGCACAACCACCCACTTCAATACTGATCGCCTGTATTATGGTCTTTATTGTTATACACATCTTTGTCATTGTCCCACCTGCCTTGTATAGGGTTCACTGGCCTCGTCAAGCTGTCCATAAACAGCTTTTAGCCAGTGAACCTCTCCAGAACCTGTTTCTTTCTGGGAAATGATTTGATTTGATTTGATTATTTACTTTCTATCATGACAGAACAAAGAAAGGTAAATTCAGCCTTCACTCATTCTCATCTAACGTTTAGAATAACGAATACTGCCGTATTTTGTTCTGCTGTCGCAATATCACCTCACCGATACGGATGGCACCACAATGAAAAATGTCGTTTTCCACCCGAAAATTTACGCCACAACACTACAAAGCGTCGATCATGTGGATGAATGAATGGGCCAGTGGAGGGAAGGGTGGGGGTGATTTTGCTATGAAGTGAAAATGGTCAGTCTGTATCAAGTGTTACCTTGCGTAGGTCTCATTCCAACAGAAAACAACTTATACGCACGGCTTTGGTTAGTGAGTAATCCCAAACTTCCGTTTATCATGTTGCGTATTACCAGCACCACACTGGAGGTCAGTTAATAATTTGTGTGGCTCAAATGGTACAAGCCTACAACACGTTGCTGAACAATAACCAGCGAGTGTAATGAATCAGGAGATGCTGCTGCTTTTTCGTCATGCCTTGCGTCAGCCTCTGTGAGCACACAGACCTCTGGTGTTTCAGAGTCTTGTGAAAACTTATGCATGCAAGCTTCAATGCCTTTCATACATCAATAATCAAATTCGATACATTAGTTTTAAAAAGTGATTTTTCGTTTCCAAGTGCATGAAGAAGAATGCGCATGCACTCAGTGGTCCCTTAAAAAATCCCTGCTAGTGAAAAATGATCTGAGTCTGCTACCATGGCGCGCCACAAAATCATGTAGTTTTGCTGTGTCAAAACCCCTAGAATATTACATAGTAATAAACAGCCTTTCCTTCAAGCACCTTACGAAACATGTGGGAAAAAAAAAGGCTTTTCTTTCTCGTTAATATTCCGCAAGTGATATTACCCAGACTTCGTATCGTTGAGCTGCATGTCGACGTAGTAACAAGCCGACATCAGATGGGTGAAAGAACAACAATTTTTATTTGAGGCTCCATTATGCAGGGTGTCCCACATAACTTGATTGATATGTGAGGTTTAACGTCCCAAAACCACCATTTGATTATGAGAGACGCCGTAGTGGAGGGCTCCGGAAATTTCGACCACCTGGGGTTCTTTAACGTGCACCCAAATCTGAGTACACGGGCCTGCAACATTTCCGCCTCCATCGGAAATGCAGCCGCCGCAGCCGGGAATCGAACCCGCTACCTGCGGGTCAGCAGCCGAGTACCTTAGCCACTAGACCACCGCGGCGGGGCTGTCCCACATAACTTGAGTACAGAATTTAAAAACGAAACACACTTCAGTGGCGAATTGAACCGAACGCGTACTACTCGCACTAGCCTGTAGGTAATCAGGCAATTTTTTTTTATTTCTCTACTTACTAATAATAATTATTCCAATTACCTTTTTCTAAATTATGGGCTGGAAACCCAAATATGAACACTGAAGTGTAAAGCACTTTCAGAAACCACCGACAAAACTGTTCTCTGTACGATACGTCCAGCGCTGTTATTTTTTCCGCGTTGTAAAGAAAGCCTATAGGAACACTATAGCAGTGCGCACGCGGTCTGTCACACGGCTTCCTTTCACGTTTTGCGGGCTTTCTTTACAACGTGGAAAAAATACCAGCGCGCGACGTATCGTATAGGAAAATATTTAGTCGGCGATTTCTGAAAATGCTCTACACTTCAGTGTTCATATTTCGGGTTTCCAGCCCATAACTAAAAATAAAAAAATTAAGAATTGTTATTTACTAATATGGAGAGAAATAAAAAATAGCCTGAGTACCTAGAGGCTAGTGCGAGTTATACGGGTTCGGTTCAATTCGCCTCCAAAGTGCCTTTCACTTTGAAATAATTGGCTCAAGTTATGTGGAACACCCTGTGTAGGCAAGCCAACACATGTGGCCGAAAAGAGAAAGGCATATCTTGCACTGAGTAACTAAAATACATGACGCTTCGGCGCTTGTTTTATCACATGCCGATACAACCTTCTTCTGAACCAAAAAAAAAGCGGAAAAAAAGTATCATAATACGAACAATGTTCATGGCACTTGGTGGAAGTTACTGTCGTATCGTAGCCGCATGGGAGTTCGGCGTTGTTTAGCCGATCTTCAAGGAAGAAGAGCGAACGCTTGCGTTGTCGCCTGCGCTGGGTTGTCATCCGCGCT